AGCATGATGGGTACAGGAAAGTGTGGTGTGAAATGAAATCAAAGGGGCAGTTAGGGACCACAAGATGAAGAGTTGAAAACAAACAGCCACAGAAAGAAAAATACCTGCTTCATTGTTTTAAATGTTTATTCCAGTTTTTTTTTTTTGATAATAGATGTATGAGCATCACCTATCAGCAAGAGCCCAGCTAGAACGCAACTCAATCATGGAGGGACGAGGTGGAGAGAGCATGACTGATGAAGGTCTCAAGAAAACATGCTTTAAGAATATTATCCACAAAGGGTTTATCTGGAAGGAAGCAAGAAAGGAAGGGGAAGACAAGATGGAGGAAAAAAGAGAACAGAGTTGCTTGGTTCTCTTCAAAAGAGTTGTGGTGGGGGAGGCTGACCCACCTCTTGGTTCCTACTTGTGTCTCTCTGACCCAACTCTTAAAACGCCAACCTCCTGACCCTCCTCTTCCTCAGTTCAAGGCTAAGCCATAAACTCTATCTCCAGGGAGTCTTATTTACTTACTCAGACACTTGAGAATTTCCTGTTTAAAGTCCTATATCACTTGCTTTGTTCTCTACTCTTTTTCCCTTGAGCCTGGTTCTGTTAGGGTTCATCCGTGTAACTCTAAGCTCTCCAACTGTATCTATACCTCATGCCTTTCCTCCTTCTCTCCTTCCTTTTATTCCTTCCACAAATAATTAATAAACATATAATATGTGTCAGGCACTGTCCTAGACATTGGCAGTGCCATCTTTAGCCAATTGAGTGTCAGCTCTCATGAAACTTATTATCTAACAAAAGATGGAGGGAGGGATGACATTAGTAGAATAACCAGATTATTAATAATAAGTGGGCAACTACAGCTTTGACATGTGCTCTGAATAATACGTATGTGTTGTTGTGGCAGAGACTAACAAAAGGAGATGATTTTGTCTAAAGAAATCAAGAAGGGTGTCTTAAGTAAGTGCCATCTAGAGCGGAGGCCTTAAAGTTGAAGAAAATCTTGAAAGATGAGAGATAGAGGGATGTGAGCTGAGACAAGGGAACCCATGTTATGGATTCTGGTGTCCACATTCAGGGCAAAGGAAAGAACGGCTAAAGGGACAAGTCAGTTTCTGATGAGGGGCATCAAAACATGATCACTGTCACCATGTTAAATGCTCACACTGGCTACTGTGTGGAGAATGGAGTGTGCTCGGGGAGGTAGCGTGGGTGCAAGGACACAGCTAGGAGGTAGGAGGTGGCAGCAGACCCAGGTAAGAGATGCTGGCAGTGTTCACGAGGAAGATGACCTTAGGAAATGGAGAGAAGTGAACAGATTCTCGAGACACTTAGGAGGCAATGTATGCCAAGGATCTCATTTCTTTGTGGGCACATAGTAGGGCTCCTTGAAGTAGGTGAAGACAAGGATTTGTCCTGCAGTCTATGTGGAAATGATAGCATTCATAATACACTTTGTTGCAGAAGAACCATTTGGCATGGGTTTCTGATTTCCAGGACTGCCCTTACTTGGAGGACCTCAGAACAAGAAGGCATTGCACTTTGTAATAACCCAGTGGCATTCCCAACAACTGCTAGTAGTAATAAGCTCCATTAATCAGGGAGTCTGTGTAGGCTCCAGAGACATATGAAACCTCAGGCAAGTTACTTAAATTTCCTTTGCCTCAATTTCCTGATCTGTAAAGTGGGGGTAATAATAGGTCGTTTTTTACAGAGTGATTGTAAGGATTAGGTGAAATAACCCACATTTAGCACAGTGATAGACATGTAGTAAATTCTCAGTAAATATTAGTTACTACTACTGTGTTTCCCCGAAAATAAGACATCCTCCGAAAATAAGACCTAGCGCATGGAAAGATAAGAAATCCCCTGAAAATAAGACCTAGTGCAACTTTGGGAGAAAAAAATTAATATAAACCACTGTCTTATTTTTGAGGAAACAGGGTATTAAAATAATTGTGACTTCCATTTCATTAAAAGAAAAAAAGATCAAGAAGAACTGTTTAATCATTTTAAAAGACATAAATAGCCCTGACCTGTTTGGTTCAGTGGATAGTGTCAGCCTGTGAACTGAAAGGTCCTAGGTTTGATTCTGGTCAAGGGCACATGCCGGGATTGTGGGCTCAATCCCTAGTGGGGGACTTGCAGGAGGCAGCCAAACCATGATTCTCTCTCATCATGGATGTTTCTATCTCTCTCCTTCTTCCTTCCTCTCTAAAATCAATAAAAAATATCCTATATAATAAAAGCCCAATATGCAAGTTGACTGAACAACGGACTGACCTTGGAACAACTGGTTGCTATGATTTGCACTGACCACCAAGAAGCAAATGCTCAATGCAGGAGCTACCCACACCCTGCAGGCCCCAGGCCCAGCCAGATGGGTCCCTGGATCGCCCTGCTTATTGCCCTGCAGATAGGCCCTGATCACCAGCCAGGACTAGAGATCCTACCCGTGCACAAATTTTGTGCACTAGGCCTCTAGTGTGTGTGTGTATATATATATGGCATATATATATATATATATATATATATATATATATATATATATATGGCATAAATAGGATCATATAGCATTAAACAATTTACGTAAAGACACATAGCTCTTAAGTGGGGAGCTGGTCTTTGACACAGATCTGTCTAGCACTAGAAGTGGTTTTGACCACTATGCAGTGGTCAAAGCCATAAAAACAAGAAAAGGGGACCATCTCACCACCTGCCATTGTCCATTTATGATGGATGCATTTACAAGAGCTGGTTCTGTTGCTAGATCAGCTGTAGGCTAAAGGGAAGCATTCATGAGGAGTGATGATCCTTTTAAGAAATGATGAACTTGATGACTCATCCCATCCCGTGTAAATGGTAATGGCTTCCATGTCATCGTGAGCACAGTAAGCTTGATTCCTAAGGTGCAGAGTCATGAAAATAGAGAAACCTTTCCATTCCCCCAAGGGCCTTTCAGAAGATTGGGATGGTACTATTATAATGGCGAGCTTATAACACACTTTTCTCATGAAATATTCAATATCACTTGAGGTATGTAATTATTGGGGCTCTTACTTTACAAATAGGAAACAGAGACTTAAAGAGGTTAAATATTTCACTCACATCAAGAAAGTGATAAAGGGAGAATATGAATCCCACTCTATTTGCCTACACTGGCCTCACCAAGCTATGATGCTTATTCCGTCATGCTGCCCCTTCCAGCCCATGCTTATACACAGTCCCTGAGGCCCTCTCTTTCACTCCTGAACGGGGTCTGATGTCAATCACATGCAACTAAGCATTTTGCTTAGTGGGTGCCTACCTCTCCAGAGATAATTTGTACGTAGCTGCCAGTGTGCTAGAAATGGCTTATACTGGCCCATGAAAACTGTTACATTTGTTGTTAATCCTCACCAGAGGATATTTTTCCATTGATTTTTAGAGGGAGTGGAAGGGAGAAAGAGAACCAGAGAGAGAAATACATCAATTGGTTGCCTTTCACACGTGCCCCGAAGGAGGCCAGGAATTGAGCCTGCAGCTGAGCTACATGCCGTTGACTGAAATCGAACTCTTAACCCTTCAGTCCACAGGCTAATGCTCTAATCACTGAACCAAACTGGCTAGGGCCTGAATGTTAAATTTTCAGGAATTTGTGAGCTTGTCGACATTACATCAGTAGTTTGAAATTGGCCACGATGGGAATATTTACACCAGAGAAAGCAGCAAACACTCTGAGGCAGAGCTCCCCAATACTCTACTGTCACTACCACTACAATGGTTGTTAAACATTTACCAACAAATCACCAGGCCCTAATCTTTCATTGCCTTCTGTTAAGCACAGCATTTGATATGTGGTAAGTGCTCAGTAAATGTCAGGCATCAGTGACCACTTAGCAAAAAAATTCGACAAGCACAGGGGAGCATCTGAAATCATGTCTACCGGTAAGCCAACTCTATGCTTCTTTCTGGCCCACTGCTCCAGCAGAGAGAAGGAGTTCTGCTGAAAACATTTGCACATCTCAGTAGGGGAAACAGACATGAATCCATGAGCTAAATCCGTGTTAAAATAAGAGGCTCAACCAGCATTAAGACCATGGATATTTAAAGTTATAAAAACATATTTAATTTGCAGAATTACAGAATTTGTTCCTGAATAGGTAGAAGGACTATTTTTCATAGGATGTCATACCATCTAGTGCCACGCTTATAACATATTGCAATTTGCTAAAGAAGGCAAACTACATAGTTTTGATAATTTATGTTGCTGTTATTACTATTGTTGTTATGGAATATAAAAATGTCTTTAGATATATGAAAAGACTAACTTAGCTAAGTAACTATAATCTTCTAGATAAGAACTGCTGGTCTGTACAGCTTAACACCTAACACTGCATGGTAATTCTAGTCTCCTAAATGTTTATAAGGGATAAAAATGTTTACCATTGTGCCTTGCAAATTTGAGACAATTAAATGCCCAGAGAATATTTTCCCAAGATATCAGATAAGTGATGGCCCTTCAAACAAAACTGAATTAAATTCATGAAAATGTTGACACTGAACCCATCACTTAACCATTCCAAGTACTAATTTCATTCAGTATACATTAAGAAAACTGAGCAAGATCATCACTTAGATCCCAGTGACTGCTAATATTTTATTAATCTATCTGCCATAAAATATAATTATTTCAAATGAAGTTTAAATTCTATCCAATCATAGCATTTGCCACATGAAATATTAGAATTTAAACATTGAACCCAAACTTGAAGGGGAAGGTTAATGAATATTAAATTTACTCATGTATAGATTTTAGGACTAAAATCACCTCATCTAATCACCCCATCTCTTGACTTGTCTCCACATTTCTTCTGATTACTCTTATTGTATTTTTTAGGCTGTTCTAATGAGCATGTCTATGTCCTTGTTTTATTCCATGTATAATCTTCATCATCCATCTCAGTCTCAAAATACTATTTTAAAAAAGACAAAAAAACACACAAAACAACAACAAAGTTCTCACATACCCCATGACGGTCCTCAAAATACGCCAAGCTGGTTTTGGTTAAAACAAAGAAGCGGACTTTAAAGTTTGAAGGAGAAGTTCTTCTCTTTTGTTGGGATTTCTTGATGAGCTGTTCTTCTAGGAGGATAGAGTTGTTTGAGTTGTTCATGATCCAATTCTTGAAAAGTGATGCACCTTGGGCATCAGCCCTCAGCACAACCAGAGGAAACAGCTTCAGGGCAAGGAATGCGATGGGGGAGGCAGTTGATCTTGAGAGAGCTGTTCAGAGGCAACTTGCCTCCAATGTTATCTTTCTATCAGTGTTCAGTCAACATCACTGAGCTACCCCTCTGATGTCAAAGGCTATAACCACATCCTTTCGAAATTCACAAAACTAAGAGGCATATGTAAATAAAATACTCACACTCTTTGCTGTATGGTTTGAAAATGATATCTGAAAAACTTTAGACTCAATGACATGAAAGATTAGAGTTTAATCATTTTAGTTTTTGGTTTAGCCTATCCAACAATTAAGGCATGTAGCACAAAGGGTGCCTAGTCAATAGGCGTAGTTTGTATATTAGTTTAGTATTGCTGCTGTAACAAATGTTCACAAACTCAGTGATTGGCAAATTTATTGTTTTCGCATTCTGTTCTTCAGAAGTCCAAAATGGGTCTCACTGGGCTAAAATCAAGATGTCATTAGGGAAGGTTCTCTAGGGTAGAATCTGTTCCTTTGCCCTTTTCAGCTTCCAGTGATGCAGAATTTTTGGACTGGAACCGGGATTCTTTGTCCACTGGAGTTGGAGAATGAATCCACAGGCAGAAGATGGTATAGCAAAGGAATAAATTCATTAAAGAACAAGTACAGCCTCCCACATAGGGAGGGGTAAGAGTCTCCTAGAATGGACTCCCACGTGGGGAGAAGGAAAGCGTCCTGCTGAGTTCCTTATCCCTATGGCTTATAAAGGCTGCAGATCTCGGTGCCTTGATATCCCCTCTGATTGGTCACTATTCCCTTGGACTGGTTTCTATAGTAACTCCTGGACTCAAAGGTTGAACCTCATATGGAACATGTGAGGTTCTCTTCCCCACACCCCTTCCTTGTTGTTTTCCTATTCCCTTTAAGCTTTCTTCTTCTCCTTATGGATGAAGGGCTTTCTTCTCTTTATTCTGTAAATATAGACCTTTTTGCTGTTCCCACTCCCTCATAATATGGAAATGTACCTGTTGCAGCTTTTCAGCTCCCCTGTTCTATGGAAATATACCTTCTGCTGCTCTGCAGCCCTGAGCTTCTTCCATGGTCCCCTTAATTTCTAAAATTCCCTAAAATCTGTCTTTTTCACCCCTAAAATTTCCTGTTTCACAACAGTAAGCCCTTCTATTGCCTCCCTCTTTCATACTTAAGTACCCTTGAGATTACCTTGGGAGTGCCTGAATAATCTAAAATAACCCCCCTGCCTGACTGGTGTGCTCAATGGTTGAGCATCAACCTATGAACCAGGAGGTCACCAGTTAGATTCTGGATCAGGGCACATGCCTGGGTTGTGGGCTTGATCTCCAATAGGAGTTATGCAGGAGTTAGGTGATCATTGATGTTCCTGTCTCTCTCTCCCTCTCCCTTCCTCTCTGAAATCAATAAAAAATAAAATAAATAAAATAAAATAACCCCCCTATTTTAAGGTTAGATATTAGTAGCCTTAATTTCGTGTCATATCTTAATTCCTCATTGCCATGTAATCTTACATATTCATAGGTTTCTGGAACATGAGTATCTGTAGAGGAGCCATTATTCTACCTACCACAGCTTGAAAGCTGGCTCCACCACCTAACTAGTTGTGAGATGAGACAAATCACTCAAGAGCTCTGAGTTTCATTTATTCTAATCTGTAGAAGGGTATAACAATGCCCCTACATAAGGTGCTGCAGGGCTCCCTTCCGGTTTCCTTGCCAGTCTCATCTCACACCTCACTCACACATTCTCTCCAGCCCTCATGCATGCTCCTTATGCTGCTTAAAAAAAAAAAAAATATATATATATATATATATATATATATATATATATATATATATATATATATTTTAATTGATTTTTTTACAGAGAGGAAGGGAGAGAGATAGAGAGCTAGAAATGTCAATGAGAGAGAAACACTGACCAGCTGCCTCTTGCACACCCCCTACCCGGGATGTGCCCTCAACCAATGTACATGCCCTTGACCAGAATCGAATCTGGGACCTTTCAGTCTGCAGACCGACGCTCTACCACTGAGCCAAACTGGTTTTGGCTCCTTATGCTGCTTGAACATCTGTTCATCTTGCCTAAAAACATCTTTCCCTACTTTGCCTGTGTTCCAACTCACCCTCAGGTGACTGGGGTCCCTCAGCCAGAGAACTGAACTTATAGGGGTTACCCACAGTACTTAATTAAAATTGACCGAGCATAAACTAAACACAGAAACAAGAGTTAGAATGCATGAATCCCAAGGTTTATTTACCAGAGTCCTGGTGGTTTCCAGAAGCCTAGGCAGGTCACCTGGAGATCCGTGCCGACAGACACACACACTGGACAGGAACACATTGCCGCAACGTCTCGGTCAGGAACGAGGTCTCAGAAGTTTGGCTCACAGGCAGAGTGACAGCTTCACTCAGGCAGGGTCTCATGTAGTATTTCGAACAGAGAGAAGAGAGTGGAGAGCACCTCGGGTGAAGGAGCCCTTCGTGGTCTCTGCCCAGTGCCTCTAGGTCCCTTCTTTTAAGGCCATTTCTGGGTGTTCCCTTGTTCCTTCTGGGTGCAACCAATGGGTCTTCAGTGTGTCTAATCAGGCGGTCTCCAGGTACTTTTTGCCTTGGTTTGCAACTTTCCAGATAAACACTTGTTAGGGCGTCCACACAGTTACAACTTTCCAGATAAGCACATGTTAGGGCGTTCACACAGTTAGGGGCTCAAAGTCAGTCTTAAAACTCAAGTTTTACAAAATGGATTCAAGTCACACTAAATGGAATTATAATACTTATACTAAGCCTAAAACACATTTCAAATAATTTCTTTTACTTAAAATAAAATCAGAATAAGATCAGAAATACAATTCACACTAAAACTATAAATCACTCATAAAAGTAAATGCTTTCATTCCTATTTTAAATCACACAAATAATTATTTTCACACTGTTTTAAATCCTTAAAATATAAATCAAGCATCACACTAATATAAGTATAACAGCCTGGTTAACTCTAAATTATACTGCAAGTTTCAGCCTACATGTCACTTCCTCAGAGAAGTCTTCCTAGCTTTCCTAACTCAAATCCACCAATTATACCCAGATGACACCTTATACATTTCTCTTTTACCTCTTTTGACTGTTGCAATTGTACATTTTGGAGGGTGATTTTTGGGTTAATGCTTATGTTCCCTACAAGTCTAGAAGGTCCATGATGGTCATGATTATGTGTGGTTTTGCTCATCATTGTATACTCAAGCAACCATCACAGTGCCTAGCACATAAAAAAAGCATGTGTTGAGTGAATAATCACCAAACTGGGTCAGACAATTAACAGAGACAGGAAGCACAAAACACTTAGGAAAAACATATTAAAATTTTTTACTTTAAATAATTTAAATAAAAACCTGTAGAAATCTCTCTATATTGCAGGTAGATAATTATTTTTCTGTTCCAAAATTTAGTGGAAAAACAGAAAATAAGTAAATCTCTCAAAATGGCATAATAAACAAGGCATGCATTGGCTCTGAAGGTGGATAAAAGTGTGTTGGAATCCCAGTTCTGTTGCTTACTAAGCTGATTATATCTAAGTGAACTCCTTACCTTGTCTGCTCTTTAATTTCCTTATGAGGGGCCTTTTGGAAACTGAATCTGTGAATGGTGGATGCTATGTATGTTGTTTTAGAATTAGAACATATTTGAAGTATAATATGTGAGCCCTTCTCTAGCATGAATAAACAAGAAATCTCAGTGTAGGCAGAGATGGCATATACTGCACAGAGATAAATAATGAAACAAGATGATTATTATTATTGCTGTATAGGAATGCAATTATCTAAATTAATTTTAAAATGTAAATTATAAGATTACACCTTAATGTTGTTTCATATATTGGCTGCCCTTGCATAATCGAGGCACTCAGAGTGGTGGGGAAGAGAACACTTTAAATGATCCCTCCTCTCCCATTCTGAGGTTTTAAGACATATTCCCAATAGAAGTTATATATATATATATATATATATATATATATATATATATATATATATATATATATATTTGCTTTTGAAATGTGTTTGAGACAGTGATTTTTAATTTTCTACAAGTATCTACTCTTCCTTTTTTCCCAGAAAACTGATTCTCTAAAGGTTACCTGGACATCTGGCTAGTTAGAATAAAGATTACATTTTTCAGACCTAGCCAGTTTGGCTTAGTGGATAGTGTCAGCCTGAAAACCTAAGGGTCCTGAGTTTGATTCTGATTAAGAGCATATACCTATGTTGCAGGCTCCTTCCTGGCCTGGGCCCAGGTCAGGGCATATGCAGGAGGCAACCAATCATGTGTTTCTCTTACATCAATATTCTCGCTCTAAAAATCAATGGAAAATATCCTCAGGTGAGGATTATTAAAAAAAAGAAAAGAAAAGAAAAAAAGATTACATTTCCCAGTCATGTAACTGTATTCTAGCTAATGGAATATAGAGTAAGTGATGAGTATGACTTTTAAGAAATGTCCTTAAGGGCAATCATCATACCATTTTCATTCTCTTTTTCCTTCTTCTTGCTGACTAGAATGTGGATGTGGTTAGAGCTGGAGTAGCTGTATTATATTATGAGGTAGAAATTATATGTTGAGAACAATGACACATAAGATAGAAGGAGCCTGGGACCTGGTGATCTTGGATCCTCCATGCCAAAAAGAAATAAAATTCTAGGCCCTTTTTATTTTTACATACTGTCATAAACACAAACCTAATTCTAACTAATACACTGTATATTCCAAACTAGACTGTAAATTCCTTTGAGAAGTTTATTCAAGTTGAAAGATATACAACTTCAAAGTATCTTATGTGGATACTCGAAGCCTGGTGCACAAAATTTGTACACTTGGTGGTGGGGGGGGGCTCAGCTCGGATTGCAAGAGGGCCCAGGCCAGGCTGAGGGACCCCACTGG